GCCATCATGTGATCACATGCGACTGCGGGGATGACAATGAACCCTTCATGGTGTCGTGGACGTATGCCCTGCTATTCCCAGGTGACGGATCACCTGGACACATTGGGGCGGATGGAGAGGTGGAGATCCGTATTGTTGCCACTGAAGAAGGAACGGTTGGCGACGGAGGTGCAGGTGAGAACGGATGGGAATGCAGGGGAGAGAGGTCACGGAGATGGGGGGGCGGGGATTGCCGCAGTGAAGAGGACGGAGGTGGAAATGGCGGCCGTTGTGACGGCAGGGGAGGTGAAGGGGATGGGGTGAACGGGGTGGTGGCGGGGTGGAGATGATGGCAGCGTCGGTGACGGTGACTCAGGCGACGTCACGGGCAACCGCGTCACATGCGACTGCGGGGATGACAATGAACCCTTCATGGTGTCGTGGACGTATGCCCTGCTATTCCCAGGTGACGGATCACCTGGACACATTGGGGCGGATGGAGAGGTGGAGATCCGTATTGTTGCCACTGAAGAAGCAACGGTTGGCGACGGAGGTGCAGGTGAGAACGGATGGGAATGCATGGGAGATGAAACAGGTACAATAAACGAAACTAGCAGACACGTCACATGTAGATCATCAGCGATTTGAAGCTCATCACCCCCCGGCCCAACGCCGCCCTCCCCTGCGCCCCCATAGCCGTACACTGCTCTCCCCTGCACCCCCATAGCCAAACGCCGCCCTCCCCTGCGCCTCCCTTGCCCAACGCCGCCCTCCCCTGCGCCCCCCTTGCCCAACGCTGCTCACCCCTGCGCCCCCATAGTCAAACAACGCCCTCCCCTGCGCCCCCCTAGCCCAACGCTGCCCTCCCTCCGCCGCCCCTAGCCAAACGCCGCCCTCCCCTGCGCCCCCCTTGCCCAACGCCGCCCTCCCCTGCACCCCCCTAGCAGTACGCTGCTCTCCCTGCGCCGCCCTAGCCAAACGACGCCCTCCCCTGTGCACCCCTAGCCCAACGCCGCCCTGCCCTGGCACCCTATAGCCCAACGCCACCCTCCCCTGCGCACCCCTAGCCGTACGCTACCCTCCCCTGCGCACCCCTAGCCCAACGTCGCCCTCCCGCACGGGAGAGTAGCGTACGGCTAGGAGGGCCCAGGGGAGGGTGGCGCTGTGCAGGGGAGGGTGGCGCTGCGCGGCGCAGCGCGGCGCAGGGGAGGGCTGTGCTGCGCTGGGCAGGGCAGTGCTGGCGCGGGGTGGGGCGGGAATCGGAACAGGGCAGAGGTGCCACCCACCTTCTTGTGGGTCTGGGTTCAATGCCCAGCTGTCCCTTTATGACCCATGATACATACACACATATGTCCGTGAACACATGAGCACACTGGCAGAGGGCACACACATACAAACACAAAGGACGGCGGGAAGGGCAAGGGAGAGCAGGGAACAGCAGAGGAGAAGGGCAGAAGGGATTTAGGGTTTTAGGGATCAATGGCGATGGCAGGGATGGCGACAGCGGCAATGGTGGCAGTGGGGATGGCGACGGCAGCAATGGCGATGGTGGGGATGGCGACGGCGGCAGTGGTGATGGCAGGGATGGCAATGGGGGGAACGGCAACGGTTGGCGATGGAGGGGATGGCGACAGCGTCGCCATTGCCACCGTTGGT